AGTCCTATTTTTTGAAAAATTTTATTACATTTTTGAACGAATTACAAAATTGCTATTTTGAAATTTGGCCGCATGGCACAGCAATAGGAGGTCTTTAGACTGAGCCAACCATACATTCATTGATCATTTAAGGAAAAGAAAAATGAATCATGATGATAAAGAAAATGATGGTTTTTTGAGTACACAAACTTCTCCCAAAAAACCAAAACCTCAAACAATGAAGTTAAAATTTAAAGGAATGGATATGCTTTAATAATGTAAATGCAATGAAGATTTCCTTTGGAGTTAATTAATTTCCTTCAGAATAATAAAAATGGATATACATTGTTAAAAATAGGAAAATAAGAAGAATAAAATTAATAACTGCTTGTTGTGAAATTGTAGAGGTCCAAAATTATATATGTGTTATAATCTTACATTGGGAAGTTAAACACATGTGGTTCAGTGCATTGTTCAATGTCATGTGCTGATCAACATAAAATCATTTTGTTCTGCAAAGGCAACATCAAACAATATGATAAAACACTAATGTGGACCAATGTGTAGAACAATGCATTAATGTAAATTATTACATGGGGCATACTGCAACAAAACCAGACAAAGTGAACATTTTCACTACTAAGGATTTCAGGGATCAAAATTTAGTCATTTTGTAATGTGTTTATAATTAAAAGCTATATAATAATCCCATTTGTTAAGTGATACATAGAACTATCCCTATATAAAAATCATTAATTAGGTCTACCATGGAACCAAAAAATTACAACATTAGAAGTATTTTGAAAAAGGAACAAGGTGAAAAAATTGCTCCTTATATTTTCAAAACAAATGATACTCAGGCAATTGAAGCTTATCTAAGGAAAGAAAAGATTACTTATGAAATTTACCAAGAAGAAAGAAAAATAATAAATGTTGGAAAAAGGAAGCATCATGATGATGCATTATTACCTAATAAAAAGCAAAAATCTCTAAAAGGAAAATAACTACCACTAAAGCTCCTAATAGGATCGGGTCAATCTGAAATTTTTCAGTTCGGGTTCAGGTTGTCCATAAAAATTTTGGTTTGAGTTCAGGTTGACACTTAACCTGCTCGAAATCAGTCTGTTAGGAGCTTTAACTACCACTTTCTTTATAGTTGAAATGAATTTCAATTTATACAGAATTTCTTTAAACTACTTTTTTATTTTCAATCAAGGTCATCTTTAGTCTCTTTAACTTCAATTTGAGCAGTTAATTGACCATTCTGTTGATCTTTTAATTTCCTGTTTTCCTCTTCTAGTTGTTTAATTCTTTCTTCTAAACCCTTTACCTTATCTAATAATTCCTGTTTTGCTTTTTACTTCACTCTTCAGATTTTTCCTGAAATTTGGCTACTTCTTCTCTTTCAGTTTCTAATTCTTCTTTGGTAATTGATAACTCTTTTTCTAGTTCTCTAGTTTTATTTTCTAAGCAAAAACTGAAGACTTGCAAGAGTAATTCTTTATCAGAAAGTGGATTAGTTGATTTAGCTTTTAAATGACCACAAAAGCATCTGTTTCTATTCCTTTTTAACCTACCACATTTCTCACATAATGAAAGCGTATTATTATCATAATCTTTTTTACAATCCTTACAAACAAAAACAAAAACTATATCAGAGTAACCATCAGGAATATTACAAGCCACCATTTGATGAGTAGCAGGAGCAGTATCAAAATTAAGGAGAGTTGGGTCATCAAAATTTAGAAAACAGAAATTACACTCTTGTTCATCTCTTTGGGCTATTTCCAGAACTCTATATTCTAATCTCATATTGATCTACATATTCTTTTGAACAATAAAAGCCTGGAACTTCTCTTTAATTTTTTCCTTTACTTTACTTACTAATTGCTTGAACTTTCACAATCTATTTTCTTTTTGCTGTTTTGGCAGAGCTGGTAGTTCTTTGTTTTCTAAATAATCTCTTCAGTTTATTTCCTGATTCTTGGCAACCAAATTATTTTCCAATAAATCCATTGTCTAAGAGTTTGTCCATTGCTGCATTATGCTCCAAAACTGTTTCAAACATTTGACGTTCTCTCTCCATTGCCTAGCCACTTCAAGAGCCTCTAAAAGACATTCAGACTATACATGTGGTCGAATTAAAAAATCATGTGACGCAATTAGCCCTTTTTCATCATTAAAAATAATAAATAATAACAAACAAACAATAAATGTCATATGAAAGTTTGCTTTCACTAGACAGACGAGAATTTGTAATTAAAACTTACAATGGAATATATAATGATGCATTATCAAACACAAGTGATATTTACATTAATAATGGTCCATTGAATTTTTCATCTTTAAAAGAGATTCCATTTGTTTAATGATAGAATTCATAATCATTGTTTAATTAAAGACATACATGAAGGAAGGTTCACGACCACAAATTTTATCAAATACGCCAAAGGAATATTAATATGTATAAATGATGGGAAAATGTTGGGATGCTGACCCATCTAAAAGACCAACTATTAGATGCCTTCTTGATTTTTCTCATAATTATTATTTAAAGGGTCTTTACAAAATGAAGATTTAAATAGTGAACCTATAATTTTTACTACAAGTAATTCAGTTACTTGTACCAATAACAATTCACAACCATTACAAAGATTATGTCCATTAACACATCATTTAAGCAGGATATTAAATGATGATATTGATGGATATATGGGTGATTTTAATCTTATTGATATACCTTGAGTAATTTCTGAAGTTAGCTATAACGAGTATTGTTATTAAATACATTAAAAGAAATGTTCGAATTCATCATTGTCCTCGATTTTTTTTAATATTAACTAATTAAAATTAATTTTAGGTAATAGTAATGATAAAGAAAAGAGACAAACTATATATATTTCCTTTTTGGGTCACTTTTAACCACCGAAACCATAAAGAGTGTGTCCTTGACGTTTAAGCGCATAGACTTGTTGTTTAAATTAATTAATTAATTATTTATTTAACCAGTTATTGATCAAAAGATAATTAATGTATTGCAGCACATATGTATTAATAATAAGATATACTCACCGACATCCAAAGACATGACTGTTTTACGATTTGCATTTTCCGTGTAAGTTACCACATCCTAAAAGATAATAAAAGGTGATTCATAACAAAAAAGCAAGTCAGTGTTATTATTATTAATTATTATTTGTTTATTATTATTGTTACATACCCTAATTACATTTTCAAGAAACACTTTTAATACACCACGAGTTTCCTCATAAACGAGACCAGAAATACGTTTCACGCCTCCTCGACGAGCAAGTCTTCTAATCGCCGGTTTAGTTATTCCTTGAACATTATCTCGAATGATCTTACGATGACGTTTAGCACCTCCTTTTCCAAGACTTTTGTCTCTACCACTACCAGTAACTTTTGACGATGATTGATCTTTGTTGTTAAAAGAATATTATTAACAAAGAACTGAAGAAAAAAAAATCATATAATCTTGTTACATAATTACATAATTGGTATATTACCTTTATTGATATTACTATTGTCAACGACATTGTTGTCGTCTACATTGTTGTCATCGATATCATTGCCAACATTGTTGCCAACTACATTAATATTATTATCGTCAACGACATTGTTGTCTTCTATATTGTCGTCGTCAACATCGTTGTCAATGTCACCTATATTATCATTATCGTTGTTATTATTATCATCGTTGACATTGCCTATCCATTCTGTGTAGTTAATATGGATCATTAATACGATTTTTCTGTTTTATAAACGCGTTTTCGTTGATTTTTCTTATTAAATTATGAAGCTTACCCGATGTAATTTTTATGCATTTGTCTAATTCTGTTATTATGTTAGCTGGGATGATGGGTACGCGTTCCTTATCGTGAATTTCTAATAAATTATTTATTATGCCATTTCTGATATTAATATGTTTCTGTTCGATTGTAGTATTAGTCTCATTAAGCAAGAATCTAAGAAGTATAAATATGAGCAAATGTAAAGTTTTAATCTATAGTATTTCATCCATTCTTAACATTATTAACTAGGGTAACGACGAGCGGCGGGCGATAACCACCACCATCCTTAAAACACTTACCCTTCTCTATTATCACGATCAGTGATTTTTCTTCTCAAATTTTTGTAATTGGACATTTTTAAAAAAATTTTTTTAATAAAAGTTTGTTAATTGATTGACGCGCACACATTAATTATTTATCCTATTGGCTTTTTTTTGGTAGGACAGACGCGAATTGATTTTTTTTTTTTTTTTTTTTGGAAAAACAAAAAACAAATTATTTTTTGACAGAGTCCAAGGTGACAAAACGTGAGTGTTGTTGTTTGGTTTGGTTTTGGTCTCCTAAAGAAAGCATGTTAATAATTAACCAGAGGTACTATTTTTTACTTGTATTGATATGTATGTGGTGTATTTTTATTTTATATAAATATTTTAATATTTTAATTGGAAATCAAAACGTGGAGCAGATCATTGTTGGGTAATTACAAGATTTTCATTGATAATATTTTACTTTTCGTAATCAATATTAATAGTATTATTATAAATATTATTAATTACAAGATGTCAAGGCAGCACACTGTTGAAAAAGGAACATTTCAAATATGCAACATTTGATTATCGGAAATTGGCAGGTGTTGAAGCACACACACTACCTTGAACGTTACAGTCATTCACATCTTCCTTGTGTACATAAGGCTAATCTGACCACGATGCTCTCGATGATACAATGATGCTACTGAATTCCAGGGGGGAGGCCCAAGGCTCTGGATTTTATCAAGACTGTATCAATCGTCAATGACACTTTCACTAATCTTCCCTCACCAGAGAAGGCCGCTGCCACGCTAGCTGAAAAGTTGCTTGTAACGATTCCACCTCTAGGGCAAGGATGGCACTGTGACCAAGCTGTCGCAACTCTGCTGATGAATTGTAGTGCCATGTAAATATCCAGATCTATCAAAGCAATGAGAACCTGCAACTTGTTTCAAGCACAGGAGGTCACAATTCAGAGCAGGGTTGGTGGCCCTGAAATTGCATTGGGTTCTGATGTTAAGAGGAAAGTTGTAAAATAGTGTTTGTTTTGTATAATCACTTTCATAAATTCTCTGTTTCTCTTTAATTTTTATCTGACCAACTGAATTTGATATTTAAATGGGGGTAGGGTTGTTGGTGAGTTGGCATGCCACTGACAAGACAGGAGACGCCTTTGAGATATACCAGCCAAACTCATAGAAAGGGATCTTTTGTCCAGACTTAGGATCACATGGATGTTAAGCACAGAAAATGTACACTGTCAATGTATATTTTTTTCAACAAAATAAACATTTAAATAATTAATTATTAAATATTAATACTTTTCTTTTCATAAAAATTACAGCAACCCAGGACTCAAAACTCTGAATTCAGGGAAAATCCAAAACAATAACCCAGGTTGCAACCTCCTGAGTTGCTGAATTTTCAAACCAGTTGCAGACACCAACTTTTATGCTAGTGCGGCAATAACACAAAGCAATCATCACACAAATGCCGATCTTCATCAGCAATCAATGCCCATATGGTGACAGCCAAGCCTGGTCTGAAGGGAAGATAAGGGAATGTTTTGTCCAAAGCCTTCCAACAGAGGGCACCCTTACCTGTGGAAAAAAATCTACAGTTATGAGGCGTGCTTAATTGCACCCAAACTTGTGTTTGTGACAGGAAGTTTTAATTAAATCTGACATCTATGATCAACATCAGATTTATTATTCATAAGGAACTACAATTGATAATCAGGAAAAGTAATTTATTATTGTGAACCCCAGAGATCTGGGTAGACATTATTAAAAATTTCATTTATGCATGGCCTTGGTATTATTACTATCTGGGTGATGCAATTGTTTGTTATGTCAATTATAACATCAAACATATTGAATAATAATCATGACCGTCATGAATATATGATGGATGGAGGCATTCACATACAAGGAAATGGTTAAATAGCTAAGTCATGTTTATTTTGTTAAAGACACATGATTAATTATATTTAAAATATACAATAAAAAAGAAGACTACATTGTGCATTAATTCTAAGATAAAAAAATCTGTTTTAATGTTTTAGTATAATCAACAATTTTCTTCAATTGTTTTTTTTAGAAATAACAATAATTATCTTTTATTTATTTGTTTATCTGTTTTAGTTGATCAATAAATCTCAGGTCTCAAGATAGTTTATCTTATCCATTTTTAGTAATAATAAATAATTTAAATCTAACGTAATTATTTTTCATGGAACCAATTGAGGAAGACAGACGAGAATTTGTAATTAAAACTTACAATGGAATATATAATGATGCATTATCAAACACAAGTGATATTTACATTAATAATGGTCCATTGAATTTTTCATCTTTAAAAGAGATTCCATTTGTTTAATGATAGAATTCATAATCATTGTTTAATTAAAGACATACATGAAGGAAGGTTCACGACCACAAATTTTATCAAATACGCCAAAGGAATATTAATATGTATAAATGATGGGAAAATGTTGGGATGCTGACCCATCTAAAAGACCAACTATTAGATGCCTTCTTGATTTTTCTCATAATTATTATTTAAAGGGTCTTTACAAAATGAAGATTTAAATAGTGAACCTATAATTTTTACTACAAGTAATTCAGTTACTTGTACCAATAACAATTCACAACCATTACAAAGATTATGTCCATTAACACATCATTTAAGCAGGATATTAAATGATGATATTGATGGATATATGGGTGATTTTAATCTTATTGATATACCTTGAGTAATTTCTGAAGTTAGCTATAACGAGTATTGTTATTAAATACATTAAAAGAAATGTTCGAATTCATCATTGTCCTCGATTTTTTTTAATATTAACTAATTAAAATTAATTTTAGGTAATAGTAATGATAAAGAAAAGAGACAAACTATATATATTTCCTTTTTGGGTCACTTTTAACCACCGAAACCATAAAGAGTGTGTCCTTGACGTTTAAGCGCATAGACTTGTTGTTTAAATTAATTAATTAATTATTTATTTAACCAGTTATTGATCAAAAGATAATTAATGTATTGCAGCACATATGTATTAATAATAAGATATACTCACCGACATCCAAAGACATGACTGTTTTACGATTTGCATTTTCCGTGTAAGTTACCACATCCTAAAAGATAATAAAAGGTGATTCATAACAAAAAAGCAAGTCAGTGTTATTATTATTAATTATTATTTGTTTATTATTATTGTTACATACCCTAATTACATTTTCAAGAAACACTTTTAATACACCACGAGTTTCCTCATAAACGAGACCAGAAATACGTTTCACGCCTCCTCGACGAGCAAGTCTTCTAATCGCCGGTTTAGTTATTCCTTGAACATTATCTCGAATGATCTTACGATGACGTTTAGCACCTCCTTTTCCAAGACTTTTGTCTCTACCACTACCAGTAACTTTTGACGATGATTGATCTTTGTTGTTAAAAGAATATTATTAACAAAGAACTGAAGAAAAAAAAATCATATAATCTTGTTACATAATTACATAATTGGTATATTACCTTTATTGATATTACTATTGTCAACGACATTGTTGTCGTCTACATTGTTGTCATCGATATCATTGCCAACATTGTTGCCAACTACATTAATATTATTATCGTCAACGACATTGTTGTCTTCTATATTGTCGTCGTCAACATCGTTGTCAATGTCACCTATATTATCATTATCGTTGTTATTATTATCATCGTTGACATTGCCTATCCATTCTGTGTAGTTAATATGGATCATTAATACGATTTTTCTGTTTTATAAACGCGTTTTCGTTGATTTTTCTTATTAAATTATGAAGCTTACCCGATGTAATTTTTATGCATTTGTCTAATTCTGTTATTATGTTAGCTGGGATGATGGGTACGCGTTCCTTATCGTGAATTTCTAATAAATTATTTATTATGCCATTTCTGATATTAATATGTTTCTGTTCGATTGTAGTATTAGTCTCATTAAGCAAGAATCTAAGAAGTATAAATATGAGCAAATGTAAAGTTTTAATCTATAGTATTTCATCCATTCTTAACATTATTAACTAGGGTAACGACGAGCGGCGGGCGATAACCACCACCATCCTTAAAACACTTACCCTTCTCTATTATCACGATCAGTGATTTTTCTTCTCAAATTTTTGTAATTGGACATTTTTAAAAAAATTTTTTTAATAAAAGTTTGTTAATTGATTGACGCGCACACATTAATTATTTATCCTATTGGCTTTTTTTTGGTAGGACAGACGCGAATTGATTTTTTTTTTTTTTTTTTTTGGAAAAACAAAAAACAAATTATTTTTTGACAGAGTCCAAGGTGACAAAACGTGAGTGTTGTTGTTTGGTTTGGTTTTGGTCTCCTAAAGAAAGCATGTTAATAATTAACCAGAGGTACTATTTTTTACTTGTATTGATATGTATGTGGTGTATTTTTATTTTATATAAATATTTTAATATTTTAATTGGAAATCAAAACGTGGAGCAGATCATTGTTGGGTAATTACAAGATTTTCATTGATAATATTTTACTTTTCGTAATCAATATTAATAGTATTATTATAAATATTATTATAATTACAAGATGATGTCAAGGCAGCACACTGTTGAAAAAGAAACATTTCAAATATGCAATGTTTGATTATCGGAAATTGGCAGGCGTTGAAGCACACACGCTACCTTGAACACTTTACAGTCATTCACATCTTCCTCGTGTACATAAGGCTAATCTGACCTGCTCCCTCTTATGTATACAATGATGCAACAAATTCCAGGGGGTGGGGCATGGCCCTGGAGTTTACCAAGACTGCATCAATTGTCAATGATGCTTTCACTAATCTTCCCTCACAGCATCCAGACCAGAGAAGGCCGCTGGCATGCTGGCCGAAAAGTCAACTGCAATGATCCCACCTCTAGGGCAAGGATGGCACTGTGATCAAGTCGCAACTCTGCTGATGAATTGTAATGCCATGTAAATATCCAGATCCATCAAAGCAATGAGAACCTGCAACTCGCTCAGGCACAGGGGGTCGCAATTCAGAGCAGGGTTGGTGGCCCTGAAATTGCATTTGGACTCTGATGTTAAGAGGAAAGTTGTAAAATAGTGTTT